ATACACACACACACACACATATAATCCTATTTTTACATACAAAACCATTTTAAAATAAAACTTTGTTTGTGTCTAGGATTCAGTTAGCCTAGCACTGTTTGGTCTGTAAGATTCTTATTTATGATGTTTAGAGGGGAGAGGTACTTAGGGCTTGGTTCATCACGTATTATGTAACTCTCTATGTAAACACTGAACTTTCTTATATTATGTTTTTAAGACTTGCAAGTAAGATAGACAATTGTATAAAGCAATGAATGATTGTTTTCTTTTTGAAGTCTAATGATCAAATACATTCTTTACACACAAAAATGACTTTACACTTAATTTTGTTTTCTCTATACTGCTTTAGTAATCAAATGTTTGAGTTTTCCGAAAGAAATAATTATCGTACTATAAGTTTTGTGGTTATCGAACAGTTGTGAAATGATCAAAACAAAATGTTATGCTCGTGAATCCATAGAGAGCGAATTGGTGAGTGATTTGGTGAGTGAAATGTCTCGAAATAATGCGGACTTTTTTTTGTTTGTTTGTTTGTCAGGATAGTTTAAACGAAATATTAGTGGAAACAACAATAGTGTAACTCAAAATCATCAACTATATAAGTAATAGGAACTACCTGGAAAATCCTAGAACTCGTTCTTAAGTAATGAATATATAAATACCAGTCGGCCCATGGTATAAGTATAGATTGTTCAAGTAAAAAAAAATCCTCAAGTAGAATTATTAGTTGGATATTCTTAAAACGAGTTAAAAGTTGTACTAAGTCCTTCTGTCGGTGAGTGTTGTTGACTAGCTGACTTCCCTCTGATCAACATTTTCAAATTAGAGACGGTTATAACCCAATCCTAGGCGTCCTCTGATCCAGCGGTTTAGCCCATGTTCTTAACATGTTAGTCATGTTGAAAATTATAATATTACGATTCCTTGATGAAAAGTTGATAATGTTTCTTCTAAGAATAATTTCGTAGAAAACAAGGACATGGCAAAAAAAAGGGTTAACAAGTTATATTCAACTTTATTTTTATATTATATTAGATAAAATATAGAATATAAATAACAAATCCCTGGAAAAGAGACCAATGGAAAACTTGTGTGACAGTATAGGATTAGTTTGGAAATAAATTACAGATTCTTAGTAGTTATTACTTAGCTTGTCATATATTCCTTAAATATTACATATTGCTAAATATATATATAAAATAAATGCTTTACTCGATAATATGTATTTACATATTTACATTTTCAAAGAAAATTCGTAACTTACTATATGACCCCCAGTGGCACAGCGGAATGTTTGCGGACTTACAATGTTCGAAACTGGGTTTCGATACCCGTGGTGGGCAGAGCACAGATAGCCCATTGTGTACCTTTGTGAACTACAAACAATATATCATATACGTTTATAATGCTCTTTGGGCCAAATTACCATTCATTTGTGCACATGCGCAACGTCTGTATTGTTTGTTTGTTTGTAGTTAAGCACAAAGCTACACAAAGGGCTATCTGTGCTCTGCCCACCACAGGTATCGAAACCTGGTTTCTAGCGGTGTAAGTTCACAAACATATCGCTCGCTGTGGCACTGGGGGGCAAGGTCTGTAAATAAATGTACAATGAATTTATTTATAAATCATAACTACACAAATAGGGAGATTGTCAACCCTTTCTCTTTCAATTTCAAGATGACTGTTTAAAAGAATAAAAATAAAATTAGCTTGTGAAAACATCATTTAATTAATTAATGTAATTCTGAATCATACCTTTTTTCATGTGTAAATGATAGTTTTCAATTATGGAACCTCTAACTCTCATTTCGACTCGAATAAAATTTTTTGTCCTGTTCTAATTATAATTATTTCTCGCAGAATGAAAATCAAATCAAATCATGTGGTGAATAATTTGATAGCTATAACTGGGAATTTTATTAAGATATCAAAAATACTTAGTTTCATGCCTTATGAGCAAACGACGTTATTAAGCTCAATCATAGGTAAATCAAACTCAAAAATAGTGTTCTAATTCTAGGTAATTTTCAGCTGTCTTTTGCCACCACAGATTTGTCGAAGGTTTAGCTTTTATGATATTTAACTTAATAAAAATAAGTATGAAGTCAATTTGATCATTTAATTCACCACTTATCACTGAATTATACCGGTTTTGTAGAAATACATACTTTATGAGTAAGCCTGAAAAGGCAAATCCTTTTCCGTGGATGGTTGGGTGCTTGTGAGATTTGGTTTGAATTTCACGCAAAGCTACATGAGGGCTATCTGCGTTAGCATAACTGTGTAAGAAAACTGAACTTTTTGTGCGTGAAACTATATGCTGTAGTGAGAACTGAGTTTTGTATAGTTTGTAATTTCTGTGTGGTGTAACGTTAATCCAAGCCGAGCAGACATATTCTATTACCGGCCGTATGTATTGTTTATAGATTTTTAATATGTTTCTCGATGATGTGCCTGTGTTATTTCCAGGTAGACTCCTAACACAGTTCACCCGCTTCCAGATTTTGTGTTCTTTCCAGGTAGACTCCTGACATAGTTCACCCGCTTCCAGATTTTGTGTTATTTCCAGGTAGACTCCTGACATAGTTCACCCGCTTCCAGATTTTGTGTTATTTCCAGGTAGACTCCTGACATAGTTCACCCGCTTCCAGATTTTGTGTTATTTTCAGATAGACTCCTGACATAGTTCACCAGCTTCCAGATTTTGTGTTATTTCCAGTCAGACTCCTGATATAGTTCACCAGCTTCCAGATTTTGTGTTATTTCCAGGTAGACTCCTGATATAGTTCACCCGCTTCCAGAATTTGTGTTATTTCCAGGTAGACTCCTGATATAGTTCACCCGCTTCCAGATTTTGTTTTTAAGTTCGCTACTAAGGCGATCTCTAATTTTGAACTACTGACCATGCAGAGAGCAGCCACTCACAAGCATCATGGCCAGGTGGTTAGAGCGCTGTACTTGCAATGTGCTAGTCGCGGTTTCGAATCTCTGTCCTATCAAACATGCTCACTCTTTCAGCCGTGGGGCCGTATAAAGTGACGATCAATCCCACTATTTGTTGGTAAAAGACTAGCCCAAGAGTTGGCGATAGGTGATGATGACTAACTTCCTTTCCTCTAGTCTTTCATTGTTAAATTAGGGAGGGCGACAATACAGTCAGTCTACAGCCACTCTACAACAAACTTTTGAATAGATTGCTCACTTACTACTAGAAAAACTTAAACAAAAATGAACTAGTACGTTCACTAAATCGCTATAGTATACATGATAGAAAAGAACCTTAGTCCCGCTCTCGTATAAATATATACTACAAGTATAGCTAGCAGCCACCTACTGCTAGACGTAGCTGACTATATCGTTTGTGTGGTGTATTCTCTATGTATTATTAGGGTATTAATGTTAAGTACATACTAATTATATTACCGAATGAACAAGCATTGGAATATGTGGGACTATTTGTGTAATGTTTACATTCCAAATGAAGCAAAATGTGTGTCAGTGCAAATGCTCAATGTTGAACATAAATGGATATGACACTGTTATAGGTAATGTGACTATAATAGTGACTTTCCATAAACACAGAACCCTCATTTATGTGATGTTTAGCGTGTAACAGTGCTCTTAATTTAAACAACGGTGCCGACCTAAACGGATCACAACAACATCAGTGCCGGAGGAAAGAAAATAGTACCTGACTCTCTTAAATCCTGATAAGGATCCAAATCCCGATCAAGATGACCAGCATCTGCATTATAGAGGGAGGAAGAAGTATACATAGTACCTGACCCTCCAAGGTCGCAAACAACACGACCGGACACCGACTCCAGATCAGGCTTTGAAATAAATACAAACGCCCTCCAATGGCTCAGCAGTAAGTCTGAAGGGTTAAGACGCCAAAAATGGGGTTTTAATACCCGTAGTAAGAACAGCACAGATGACCCATTAGACTCATTGTGTATTTCTGCGCTTAACAACAAATAAAAAACATAAAATATAAACAGACTAAATTAATAGCATGCAACTTGAAGACGTCTTAAAAAAGAAAAAAAGATTACTTACGCCACCACAGAATACAACAAACACTTGCAATGGTCGTTTGGTAAACGTGTAGACAACGAACCTTTCTACCTGTAGTAATACAAACATCAACTATTTTCTGTGAACTTGTTTTTATTTGATAAGAGCATGCTCGTCTCTTCGGGCTAGACAACTAAAGTGCCATACTTTATTTCAGATCAAATAATCACACAACATATGAATAAATTAGATGTACTTTTCGTATTATGACTGCCCATCATGAACCGGTTGTTATCACAAGAATGATAAAATGTAATAATGAAACAATTAAAGTAATTACGAAGATACGTAAGTGAACAAGTGTTTTTTATTACGTTAGAGCTTATTTTCATTCTAATAAATTTAAAACTTTGCTTGCGTTAGAATGTAATGGAAATTGTTTATATGACGTTATAAATATTCAATTCTAAATTTCTAATGAGTGTGGCATTTTTCAGGCGACTGGTGGATTCCTCTTTGGCATGAATACAAGAAAATAAATCTCGAATGAACTCGTTTCACTTTCATGAAATGTTACAATTTTTATTTCATTCCTATTTTACCAGCTATACAATCACACACAATGTATTCTTACTATGTTACTCAATCATGTAATCTTGGGCTTATATATCTATCTTAATCTCTCCTTACTTTCAATTATCTCTGGTCCTGTATAATGAACTGAACAGTTATATACATTCAAATGCATTTTGTGTTAGATTGGTTTAGATTAATAACTGTTATGAATATAACTATAGCTCATATTCTTGCACAAGAAAATATCACAATAATAATAAAACTAATTTGATGTGAAAAGTTCCAATAATAATGATTAAACCTGAAACTGTTCCAAACAGCTTTACCAATGGCTGTTTTATTATCTCTGTTGGTTGGAACTAGTGAATGTCAAGTAATCAGTGTTTTCTTTTCTATTTTTCTAGAGGGTCAAGATGAGTACACCGGTCACTGTTAAATTTCTACTTTTCGCAATTACTTGTGCTTCGGTAACATATCTATCAGTTGGCGATCGTACTGGTGCAGCTGGTCTAGCTACAGTATCTAGTAATTCTGTCGCTCTAATGCTTTACAAAGTGTTTACGACTCACGATAACATATTCTTTTCGCCATTTAGTATCACAACAGTGATCGCCATGACTTTTTTAGGAACCCAAAATGATACCGCTGCCCAGATAAGGAATCTGCTTAACTTGGAAGCAAGTGGTTTAAGGGACAAAGATTTCCATGAAAGTTTTCATTATCTAATCACGTCATTTCTGAAATATAGCCAGCAATTTGAATTGAAAACAACAAATGCTTTTGTGATACAAAAGGGCATTGACATTGATGCTAATTATAAAAGTGATCTGGACCGATTTTACAACGCTTCTATTCAAGAAGTAGATTTCCAGGAAGATCCAGACACCACAGTGCAGTGGTTAAATAGTTGGATTAAACGGAAGACGGAAAATAAAATTCAAAGAATGTTTATGGGTATATTAAACCCATTAACCAGATTGCTTATTTTAAGTATCATGTCCTTTAAAGGGTCGTGGTTAAAAGAGTTTGATGAAAGTGCCACACGTTTAGAAAGTTTTTACAATTTCGGAACAAATGAAACACAGGTGCTTATGATGCACAAAAAACATAAGTTTCCTTATGGGTTTGATCCTGAACTGGATGCCTTTATTCTCGCGGTACCTTATTCAGGCACAAGATTTCATATGATTTTTTTTCTTCCTCGAGAAAAACAAGGTTTAAAGAAGTTAGAAGCAGTTTTAGATCTCGAGAAGTTTGAGGAGGTTATTTCGAAATTGCATGAAACTGAAGTGGAGATCTCGATTCCCAAGTTTAAACTGGACAAGGAATACGATTTGGAAGATTCATTGCGAAAATTGGGTCTCACTAATGTTTTCAGTCCTGGACTTGCCGATTTTTCGAAATTCACTACTACTAAAGCCCTTCACTTGTCGAGTATCAAACACAGAGCTTTATTGGAAGTGGATGAATACGGGAGTAAAGTCATTGTTAGTACGGCTTCAATGGTTGAAACTTTGTCTTTAAAGCCTACTTTCACTATTAACCATCCATTTATCTTCTTCATACGCGAGAATCAGAATGGAATAATACTGTTCATAGGACGAATAAATCAGCTTTAAAAGAATGCTCTTCATTTTTCTTCGTAAAACAACTGACATTATTAAAGTAAATTTTGTTAAGTTTGGATATCTGAAAACCAGGCTTTTAAAATTTTGAGATAATAGCTGAAGTGGACACACGCAGTTGTTTAAATAAAGTATAATTAACAACTGGAATGCTGTTTTTAAACCGTTAATAGTCAAAAGTTCTTATAGTTACTATAGGTAATTATTTAGTTAACAGTTTTATTTCAAGTAATCGGAAACTCTCCAATCAGCAAAATTTATAATACATCTCAATATTCGTAGCGCACTTCATATACTTTTTGCCCATAAATGAATCAGGAACAGAAAATTTGAAAGTGACTTTGTCAAGGTATACCTTTCATTTGTGACTGAACATTAAAAGTTTATTATGCTGAAAAATTGTAATTGCGATGTGAAACTTATGTAAAAGTTGATGTTTTTATCAAATCATAATATTTGGGAAAGGAGATAGTATATGGATGTGTGTAAATAAATATATATATATATATACTAAATGTACGATCTTGTATAAGATACAAAATCTTACCTTTGAAACGCATCAATTAATGTATCTGGTCGGTAAACCATGACATGAAATAAAATATTATTGTGCCTTATGTTAGGGAGTTGGATAGTTATTTCTTTAAATAAGTCCAAGGAAAAGGTTTCAAAATATGTTGTTTCTCAATTGAACTTGCTGGGAAATGAGATGTTTACATTCACGGGACAAAACCAACTATCTAGGAAACGAACCAAGGGACTTTCAAACAAATCATAAAAAGAAACGGGAATCATTATGAGTTATTTCAGATTTATATATTTTGTAATAGGAAATGTATTTGTATGGTTAATTTGAATGTAATATCTGTAAAATATAACAATTTGTTTTTCTAATTTGTGTGTTATTCATGGTTAGTATTGATATTAAAATGTATTAAAATATGTACAAACTAAGATGGTTGATCTATAAAGTTTCCCATAGTTGGTTTGTGCTAACGTTACTCTCCTATAAGTATAAAAATGAGTTCTGTTTGTCAAAATGGTATCTAAAAACTTAAAAATCTACAGTTCATTCCATGAAGCACACTGAATGGCAAGATCTTCTGTTAACATTTTTAGGTGAAAAGAAATTAAAAGCAACAATCAAAAACTTTCGTTTCTGATGGAGGTTACTGTCATCCGATTGAAACCGGTTCAGGCAATGAACCAGACAATCTACATAAAGAACATGTCATGAGTTATTGAAACAATATTTTAAAATTTAACACAATAGTTCATTAGTTTGCAGCCTACACCAAATATGGCATATTAACAAGATTACAAAATGTTGCAAAACTGGTATTATGTGTAAACTTTCACATAAAAAAAGGAAACTTTTTTTTTGTTCTAACCAGTTTCATTCCATCTTAATTCTCTGTTGAAACTAGAAAATGTTGTTGTTTTCATTGTTATCTGATAATCAAGTTCAAGTGAAAACCTGCAAGCTCGTGGAGTTGGTACATCACTGGTCAAACCTGCTTTGGTATCATAACTGTCATACCTGTTGTTCACAGTTAATATAAATAGTCGTGTCTCAGCTACCTGAAACCAATGGAACCACTGAACCTAAAGATTTACCAACTGTTTAATGAAGTGTAAAGGTAAGTCGTTGTATTTTTGTTTGCCCTGAATCTGACAGTCTTCTAATTCAATCTAATAAATATGTCATTCGTTCCTAGGCGTATATCTTTTCAACAACAGTAATTAATGATGGATATTTTAACTTAAAAAGAAAACGTTTTTAATATATTACTTACATACTGTTCATATATATCATAGGATCGCATTGTGATGACCAAAGAAAGTGAAAACGGTAATACACCTTTGCTTTGGTTAATAAATGGTTCTTAGCTTATGAATTGTGTTGTTGTTTTTCATGTTGTAGTAAACACACTTTTATGTCTGCCACAAATATTTCTATTGGCCTGTAAAAATATAACTTTCTTCTTCAATTAGTTTAACAGATGTGATTTTACTTTGCTAAGAAATATTGGTTTGTCTAAAATTATTTTAGTTTTCTAAATTAAACTTCTATTTCCGTTTGCCTTATGAAAATTACAAATCCTGAAGTTTGAAAACCATAAAAATATTGTTAATGAAAAATCATGCCGAAACAGAACTGCCCATAAAGCACGAAATGTAAAAGACGTTCGACAGCTGGTGGAATGAATGTTAAGACACAAGTTAACGATGTGCATAAATAAGTTCAACAAATTTAATATTAGAATAATGTGTTTCATAAAAAAAAAGATGTTATTAAAACATATTTTGGTTTAGTGGATATTTATTGAAAGTTAAAAGTGAGTTATTTAGATTTAACCGTAAAATTAGTATGAAAAGTAAACATAAAAATTGATTAAGTGCACTTTATAGGAGCTATTTTTAAGCCCTGTTTTGATCTTGGGACTAGTTCTTCCAACAGTGATTGTGCTCAATTTGATTAAGGAAGAAGGCAATTAAATGTATTTTACAATGACAAATTGTTAAATTTGGGTTTTAACACTACAAATAGAATTGAGATTACATAATACTGATATTATTTTTACTATATTTTAATATATATATATCTTTATTTTTATATGAAAAGTTTGTTTTAATTTCTTCTCAATCTTTATTTTTCTTCAAATTGTAGGTATGAGTATGCTATATGTAGGTGTCTTTCTGATGATCTGCGCTACTGTGATCGCAGTACCAGTTCAGGACCAGAATGGAATTCAAAAACTTGCAAGAGCCAGTAACAACTTTGCAATGGATTTGTTTCAACAACTACCGAAGGATGAAAACCTTTTTATCTCACCTTTCAGCATCTCCACGGCAATGGGTATGGTGTATCTCGGAGCCAGAGAAGGGACAGCACGAGAACTAGAAGCTACACTTGGGTATCAGGAGGAACAGCTGCTCGATGAAGAAGTTCACCAAGCTTTTCAGAGCACTCTTAACCAAATAGAAGGGTCTCAAGATCAGTACAAACTGATTGCAGCTAATTCAATGGTTAATCATATTGATTACTCTGTACTGGACTCTTACAAAACACAGTTACAGGAAAAATACAAAGCAGAAATTAGAGAAGCCGATTTTGTAAACGAAAGAGAGAAAGCTACCCAGGAAATTAACGAATGGGTGGATCAAAAAACGCAGCATAAAATCGCTAAACTTTTCGAAGAACCTTTGAGCTCTGATACGATACTTGTTTTACTGAACGCAGTTTACTTCAAGGGTACCTGGCTTTACAAGTTTAATTCAAGCAATACATTAAGTGGAACTTTCTATAATAAAGGCACGGATGGGAAGGATATTTTGTTTATGCACTTAACACATAACTTCAATTTTACAGAAGTAG